CTCTCTCTCTCTCTCTCTCTCTCTCTTTGGTCCCCCCACAGCGTCCTCCTATGAGCGGCCACGTGGAGGCGTCCAGGAGGAGCCGCCCACCAATCAGGAGCCGGAGGTGAGCAGCAGCGTCACCGCTCCACAGCTGCTGCCGGACTTTAAGAGCAGCGGCTCTGCTCTGGTTCTGATACTGACTCGTGTTGACGCACAGCACAAGCGATGGCCAGAACCAAGCAGACCGCCCGTAAGTCCACCGGAGGCAAAGCCCCCAGGAAGCAGCTGGCCACCAAGGCCGCGCGTAAGAGCGCCCCGGCCACCGGCGGCGTGAAGAAGCCTCACCGGTACAGGCCCGGTACCGTGGCTCTTCGCGAGATCCGTCGCTACCAGAAGTCCACGGAGCTGCTGATCCGCAAGCTGCCCTTCCAGCGCCTGGTCCGAGAGATCGCTCAGGACTTCAAGACCGACCTGCGCTTCCAGAGCTCCGCCGTCATGGCTCTGCAGGAGTCCAGCGAGGCCTACCTGGTCGGCCTGTTCGAGGACACCAACCTGTGCGCCATCCACGCCAAGAGGGTCACCATCATGCCCAAAGACATCCAGCTGGCCCGCCGCATCCGCGGAGAGAGAGCTTAAAGTGTCTGCTGCTGCTCCACCACCAACAAAGGCTCTTTTAAGAGCCGCTTTACTGCAACTAAGAGCTGCTTCCTCATCAACGACTCATTTCTGTCACCAACAGACTCTAAATGTGCTTTAACGTCAACCTGCTGCTTCCTCCCCCATGGCTTAGTTTTTATTTATTTATTAATTTTTTAAAATTAATTTTCACTTTAACTTCTATTTCCAGCTGTTGGAGGAGTGCTGCTGGTTCCTGCACTGAGATAAATAGACACATCTTCCTGCTGATGGCCAGCTGGTGGCGCTGATGCTGCAAAGAAAGGCTTTTGATCAGCAGCTTGAAAATCCACAGACGAGGAAGAAGAGGAGGCCCGCCTCTGTCTTCTATCACGTCCTCAGTCCAGACCACAGCGGAGACTAAAGAGGACCGCATTGGTCGAACAAGTGTCTTCTATCACGTCCTCAGAGAAGAGCCGAGGCCAGTGCCGAAGCAGACTGAGCCTCAGGAGGGACCTCCAGGATCCCAGCCCTCTGTAACCCAGCGGTACGGTGGGTCACCACCTTTATCAGGGCAAAGTCACTCAGTCACCTGTTCAGAGCTCATAACACTGTCTCACCAAACTCTCACTGGCTGCTTCATTAAGCTGATTTCAGGATATCTTTCTTTCTTTCTTTCTTTTTTCTCTCAATGTTAGACTTTAGAATAGAATAGAATAGAATAGAATGATTTTTATTGTGCTCATACACAAGGTACAACGGAATTAAAAACTATTAACTATTAAACCTATTAATTAAAAAGCTATTAACTATTCATTAAATTAAAAAACTACGGACACTGTTTTGTATGACAAATCTGAATTATAAACTTTCAGAAAACACAACTTTTTAGGTCTTTGGTCAAAATGTATTTTTGTCTCAAAACAAAAAGTACTGAAACAGGAAGGAAGGAAATGTTGGTATCAGAGCATCAGAGCAACGTGTTCTGTGATAATCGCACTCCTACGGTTCAGTTTCTGCTTATTTTATCAGCTCAATAACTTCCTTGAAATTTCCGTGAGACAGCAGATGTGATAAGAGTCATTCAAATACTGCCGTACAAGCAGCTTTCTGATTAGACCCTGACGGACTTCAGGAGTCATGCTACTGGCAGGCGTGTTCATGGGTTTCATCCTTTCTGTTACAGGTAAGAGTTATTGTTTATACCTTAAAAAATGTGTAAGACTGATTGCCTACAAAACACAAAGTCTAAGATAATAGAAACGTAGGCATGACATTTTCCAATCAGCTCTTGAGACAGTGTAAAACACACAGATGTTTGCTTGTACAAGATTGTGTTACAGGGGTGAACGGTGAGGCAACAAACATCTGTGCTTTGAAACGATCGTCGGTGGATCTGCC